CGCAATTAACACCATCTTTGGGGTATTTGCCGCCTCGACACGTCACACACTTTCTTGAAAAACCTGACGCACACACATCACAATATTGATCGAAAACACTACAATTATCGCATTTGTATGATAGCGGCGATGTGACAACGTAATTTGTAAAACATGTGGTACAAGTTCCATATATTGTATCACAATTGTTGTCACAAGAAACATCACAACTCACACAAACCCCATCAACTGAAGGCTTGAAATGGTCATTGCACTCGTTGCAGTATCGCCCAAACAATGTTGCGCACGTCTTGCAATTATTATCAAAATCTGCACATGGAACACACGCCGTGTTATTCACAGTTGAAGGCACAAAGTTTGGTTGACACGCCGAACATTTTCCCGTTGCGGAACTACAAGTGGTGCACCCGTAGTCACATGGTACACACCGCCCTTGTTTTGGGTAATAATTACTCTCACAAATGGTACAACTTCGTTGTTTTTCTGACGAACATGTAATGCAATTCGCATCAAATATTTGACAGGGAATACACACTTTCGATTTTGGATTCTCAAAAACATAATTTAAAACACAACTTGTGCATATTCCTGTTGATGGATCACAATTGTTATTACACGTCCAACTGCAGTTTTTACACACTCCAGTTATCTCATCGGGATATTTGGACGATTTGCATACCGAACACTGTCGTTCTCCTGCTGCACAAGTGGTGCAATTTTCATCAAAAGTTGAGCACTGCTCACATTTGGAAGGATCGAGTAATGTCGGTACATAATTTGAAGCACAACCAGTGCAAACTCCAGTCACACCATTACAACTCCCTCCACATGACGAATCACACACAACACATCTTCCATTGACTGGATGATAATTGGTGTTGCACTCAATACATTTTCTTGTGAAATCAGTTGCACACGTTTTGCATTTTGAATCAAAATCTGAACATCTCTGGCATGTTTTAGAAGTTGGAGATGTCACGACGTAGTTTTGAACACATTTTGTACACAAACCGTTATTTGTATTACACGTGTTTGTTTGACAAGTTGTATCACATGAAATACACTGTCCTGTTGTACCCGGATAATACCCCGCTGTACATGTCACACAACTTCTATTTCCACCATTTTGACACGTTTCACATTTGTTATCAAACGTTTTACAAAACATACACACTCTTGATGGGGAGTCTACAAACACGTTTTCTGATGCACACAACGTGCAAATACCAGTTGCTGAATCACACGTTGTGCAATTTGTCGCACATGAAACACACTTTCCACTGTCGTTTGGATAAAACCCCGTGTTGCAAATTAAACATTTGCGACTGAAATTACTTGCACATAATACACAATTTGAATCAAATTCGCTGCACTTTTGGCACACTCTCGATGTTAGACTGCTAAAAACATAATTTGATGCACAAGAAGTACAATATCCAGTATTTCCATCGCATTTGTAATCACAAGACGCATCACATTTTGAACACTTTTTGTTATCAGAAATATAATAAGTGCTTTTACACAAAGTGCAACTTCGTGTTCCATCAGTGGCACAAGTCTGACAATTGGTATCAAAAGAAGAACACAACTCACACGTTAGAGATGGTTGATTGAGTTGTGGGACATATCCACTCACACACGTTGTGCAATATCCAGTTGACGAGTTGCATCTATTTGCACAACTTGAGTGACACTGTTGGCACGTATATGGTGATGTCTGAAGTGGATAAAATCCCGTTGAACATGTTTGGCATTGTCTGAGCGTTTGTGAACACGAAATACAATTGGGAAAAGCAGTTGAGCAACTATCACAAGTTTGGTTGTCTGAAACGGGTTTTGTATATCCACTTGCACACACAGAACACAACCCAGTTGTTTGAGAACACATACTACATGACAAATCACAATTAATACATTGTTTATTGGTATTTGGGTACATTCCAGAGACACACTGATAACACTGCCTGTTCGGTTCAAGGCAAGTTTCACAATTACTTTCATAATTATTGCACAATTCACACTTTGTGCTTTCTGTAGTTTTCAAAACATATCCAGAAGCACACGTGGTGCATATCCCCGTTCCCCAATTGCAATTGCCACACGTTGAATCACATACTGTGCAAACATAATTCTCGTTGTTATAATAATGATCAAAACATTCATTACATTGTGTTTTGCCACTTTGTCCGCTTACTGTACTACAACCTTTGCACCCAGCACCACACGATATACAATCGTTATTTACCATATAATAACCACCATCACAACTTGAACATTTTAAATTCCCATTATAATCTTGGTTACAATAGGCACAATTAGAAGGACACTTCTTGCATATTTTATAATATCCTTCTTCTTTGAGGTAATACCCATTGCTACATGAATCACACGTTTTGTAATGATTTTGACTGCAACTTGTGCACCCCTCCATATATCCACATGGAACACAATTATAATAATATGGAAAATATCCTGAGTTACATTGACTGCACCAATATTGATTTGAATGATAAGTTGCACAATTTGTTGCTTTTGGATAACACTTTCCATCATTAAGTAAATAATTTTGATTACACGAAGTACAAAACCCCGTGCTATTGTATAAAAGACAATTTGTCGAAGTACATTGACTGTTTTTGCTCCACTTAAAAAGTTTACTATCTCCACAAACTGGAGTGTGATCAGTGTCATTTAAAAGATAGCATTTTACGATAGAATCATCATTTGCAACTTGATAACCATCTTCACATCGGTAACAATGATTTCCGTTGTAACTAACACACTCTAAACAGTTTGGTTGTAATGTTGAGCCACAGGTGATATCTGTTTTGATGGAACTTGTTTTGAAATAATTAAATTGTCTCACCCAATTTGAATTGATTTCAAAAGTCGAATTGTTTACATTATCAAAAACCTGTTTTGTGTTTAGAAATGTGACTTTGGTGTTGTTAAGGGTAAAAATAAGTACACTAATATTTTCATCATATATAATTTGCATTTCTTTTATATTTAAACACTTAATTTGGACTACATTTTTTTTTGTAAATTATTTAATAACACTACACCGTTTTTATCAATAACTTTGTTATTGGTATTGTTGGTATCACAATCACATTGAATTTTATTACCCACTAAACACCAGCGAGATGTTGTAAGTGTTAGTAATAACGACAGTATCAATATGAGCATATTGACTGGTTATCTTATTTGAGTTTAAAATATTAAAAATAAAATGTATTTATATACTTTTTGAAAAATAATAAAAGGAAGTTTTACAGTTTTTTTAGTTATTTCAACAAAACCACTAATAATTATGTAATGAATTTAATAAATAAAATAACAAAAATATAATACAAAAACAATTAACAAATAGCATAAACATTTTAAAAGAAATGTAACAATGTAACAAATGTCTTATTTTTTGATTATTATAGTATCATTAATTATTTTCAAATTATCAATTTAAAAACATAGATACACAATTGGATTAAAACTATGTTTATATTTATTAATTAATTTAATATAGTAATATATAAAAATTGGAATTTTTCTTGGTGTTATTAAAAAACAACAAATAAAAATTAACATTAAAAAATAATATTAGATACAAATCAAGTTGTTTAATTTATTATCATTCTCCATTGGACTATTTAGAAACAGAGAAATTGTAATTAATGTCGTGAGCAATATTAATTTGCATCGCAACAATTTGGAAACAGTTTAATAGTCAAACTAATTATTATCATTTTCAATAAAGTAGACAACAAACATTTCTTAGCCAAATTCTTATTTTTTTTAATTTTTTAGATCAATTTATGTTGAAGCTCTTATATCAAAGATAGCTATTACATATCTTATTATAAATCAATTACAACACAGAATCATATTTTAGTTGAGCAAACAAATATTTATATTAAAAAATTGAAAATATATAAATTAATATATTCTGTAATTATTTGGTATAGTTATAACATAATAATCGATTTGTAAAAAAATAATAAGACAATCCCACTGCAATTGATGGTACTAAATTAACTTGATGTTATTTATTTATTTGTATTATTTTATTTTAACATAAATCATCGTGATATAAACAATAAAAAGATATTTTGAAAAAAACAAATAACTGTTAATATTGAGAAACTTTAATATTAAATTGATAATTTAAATGAAATAATATAAGTCCAATTTAAAGCACTAAATTATATTTTTCATAACAATGGGCTTTTCCATATTCAAAATTATCTTGGTGATTGAAATGTTATTATAAGGTAAATTACAAAAAGCAGTTAGTGACAAATTTTGTACCAAAAGTTAAAATAGCTTTAAAAACTAAGTAATATGCACAAGTCAAACATATGTGCTGGGATTTCTGTGATACCTTCAGGTAAAACAACTTCTTTTAATTTGACACAACCCAAGCAACTGTTATATCCAATAGACATAATATGAAGAGTAATATGATTGTTGTTAGACTTCTGTTGTTGAAAAAACACCCTTCGTCCACACAGTGTATACATTTTTACGGTTGACAGGTTAAACGCGTCGACGTCTTGTCGTGTTAAAACGACATTATTACACACAACACCAATTTAATAGAAGTGGTAACGACTTGTTGTAAAACTCACTTCAAAGTCGCAACGTGTGATAGACGCATTGCCTATTCATATTTCTTGAAAAGAAATACATTCAGAAAAAATGCCAAAATTCATACAAACATTCTTCTGATTGAAATAGACTGTTTTCAGTTTCTCACAATTCATAAAACAGCCATCTTCGACAAGTAACACACTTGCAAAGTTAAATGATGTCAAAGATATACTATTTTTGAATGCAACTTTGCCAATACATGTGACTGAAGTTGGTATACGTATTTCATTCAATTTATAACACCCAAAGA